TCCCCCGAGTCCATGCACAGCGCAGGGGATGGCAGGGATCAGGAATCACACCCAGCCTGCAGGGTGTGCACGGATAATTCCACATCGCCTCTCCAGCTGTGGCCCAGGCTGGTGTCTGGCAGAACATTCCTAACCCTGCCTGCCGTGGCTTTTTGTAGCATGGACAGAAATCCACGCCTGGGAACTTCCCCATCCCAAGGGMAGCAGTGTCTGATCCTTTCTGAGAGAGCACACCAGTCAACACACAGTGGGCTAGGGGTGCTTCTTGATGAATTTTGTGTCTCCAGGGAACTCAGTGAACCCTCAAGAGCAGCGGCTCCATCATCTGTTGATTTTTGGTCAGGTATTTCTGAGCAATGCCACTCATTTTGGGCTCAGCCGGGGTGTTGGGTGAGCTCAGGAGCTCTGAGCAGCCTCAGCAGGCAGAGTTTGTTCTGTGAGAGCTGAGCTGACAAAGCTGATTTTCCAGGGATTCTGACTGTCTGCTCTAAATCATGCACAGGAACTGTCCCTGGCTCTGGAAGGTGAACAGCAGCACATTGTCACTGCTGTGCTGATGGTTCTGGGTTTGGAAGGAGCATTGTGTTTGTAATGCCTTTCACCTCTGCCTGCTCTGCTCTTTCTGCTTACGAAACCTTTGTATTTGGTTTTCAAGGAACCTTTTCCTTCTCCTTTTGTAACAGTTTATTAAAAAATCCCAACTGGTTCCCAGACAGGAAGGGTGAGAGGCAGTGGAATTTGCCATTTGATTTTTCTCTAAATGCAAACCCTTTCTCAGAATTGGAGACTGTAGCAATATTGCCAGGTCAGACATTAATTCATCATCAGTGTGTCACAGCAAAGGGCTGCAGTTGTGGATTAGGACGAGGCATTCACAAGTGCCTGATGAAATGCTTTAACACCCCAAACAGGCAAGCCCATGCCGAATGCACTTTAAAGTGAAAAATGGCAATCCTGTCTGGTTTGGAGGAGCTGCTGTGTCTCTGATGATATAGTGCAGCACTCAATTTCCCTCAGAGCTCTGAAGGGAAGAGCATCCATGGGAATCCATGGCCTGTGTTCACATAAAATCTGTTCTGGACATGCAATATGCTCTGGCTTATTTCAAAGGCAAAGTACTACAGAAATAAAGTGAGTCCCACACAGGATCAGCTGCTTTCTGCATTAGCAGCACTAAAAGAAAGGTACATTCTGTTAAAAACAGGGGAACTCACTCAGCTTTCTGTTAAAGTGGCAGCATTTGGACAAATTTCCATTCTCCAAGACAGCAGCTCTCGACATTGCAAGGAAGCACACGGTGAGTTGCTATGTGCAGGATGTGCACCAGAGGAAAATCCTATGAAAATCCTATGAAAATCCTGTGAAAATCCTATAAACTCCCTTGTGCTCCTGGCTTTGACACAGCCTGCAGCAGGGAATGTACCAACAGCAGGGAACAGCCTGGCCTCTCCCCAGCCAGTATTGGCACATTTGGGAGCTGGGAGCCAACACCTGCAGGATGGGGCTCCTTCTGCTGGGCTGGGACAGTCTGGGCTTGGGAGAATCCCAAAAACACATCCACAACCCCACAGCAGCTGCCAGAGAAAACAGAGCTCAGACAGAGTGCAATGGGTGTGTTAAACATACAGGAAAAGGAGCAGGG